TGTACATACACTGAAAGTTTATATTGTGGTTTAGTGAATTTAAAAGAGCATTTTTTGTTGGATGAATAGACTCTGAAACAGGGAGGAATCCAGTCATATCTACACTGCTCTTACAATTGACAAAACTGAATAAAATGGCTTTCATTCTCAACCACTAATTTTTCTATGCTTTTACAAAAATTACAAATTCTCAGCCGAAGAGGAATTATTGGAGGAGAACTATTCCGCCCCGTCTCCACTGTCAATGTATGACTTGAACACCCAAGTCTTGCTAGAGCAAATGTGAATTTCAAGGTCATAAAAATCTACAAAAAATAAATTGCACCCTCTCCACAATTATGGAGTACTCATTACCCCATATTTCGGTCACATAACAAATTACCGGGACAACTAAATCATCGAATATCACTTATAGGAAGACCACTAAGTTTCTTAATAACAACCTGTTTAACGCTCTTTCCCCTTGTTTACTAGGTTTTCCTTTTCCTGCGTCCAGGTTTATTTTGATGAAAGTAATAAACCCAGATAGTTGTATTTCTTTACTACCTTATTATAACTGGAATACCCTTGTAAAACCAATTTTTATACAACTTCAAAAATCCTCTGTTATAGGAAAAGGCTACAATTTTAGTTTTATCTAGATTTACCGCCATGCCCCAATGATCGCAAAATTGCCCTAGCCTATTTAACTTTCCCTGCAGTAGGATAGGCATGTGCACCATCATTTATTATACTTTAAAATATCAATATTTGTGCAATATTGTCATGCTTATCCATATAGAAAGCAAGTTCATTAACAAATAAACTAAATAAGAAAGGGCTTAGAATACAACCTTGTCTTGTACCTATAGTGCAACCAGAATATTTTTACAACTACACAGAACACAAAATTTCATTTTGCTGTACATTGTCAGGACTCTGCCATGCAATCCATTTGAAATAAGTCTATAAAATAAAAGCGAGTGTTCAACACGATCGAAAGCTTTCGAAAAGTCGATAAAGACACAATACATGCGCCCTCTACTTCGTGATAAATATTTCATAGCTAAACATTGCACTGAAAACATATTGTAAGGATTAAGTTTTTAGAGGGAACTGAAGACATTTGATCTAGTCGATGTATCATTGAAAACCAGATGAAAGTACCGGCGATGGCGAATAATGCGTGAGACGACGTTACCATGGAATCAGGACAGACAGACCACAGGGAGTTGGACAAACTCATGTATTTTAATAAATTATTAAATAATAAAATGTTATATAACTTTTCTTTTACCCCCCCCCCCTTCCTGGTATCGATTTCAAGTAATCACTGATCTTTGTTTATACCACTCTTTCCTTCATCACAACTTTGTTACGCGCTAATGTTATATGCACATTTTAACGCGCGATGTAGACACACCCTATTATAGTAAAATATCCCAAGGGTTGAAACGCGCCAGGACTGTGGCATGAGCACAAACGTAAAGCCGGTGGGCAATTTGGCTCGAACGGCGTTCTCCACAGCAGCGCGCCCAGAACCCATAGAAATGCATGTACAGTGGTGCGCGTCTACAACAAGGAACGTTTTGTGACGTAGCCCCGCCCCCGAGGATTCCTGATTTTTAAACAGAATCTGAAATTACAAAGTACAAATAACTACGTCATTGTGCAAAGTTACTTCAATTGCTCTGTTATGAATATAGCGTTAAAACACTTCCATGGGAGCTACCAAGCCACGTCCCGTTATGCATAGCTAATGGAACGCGCGAATATTTATTGTCTGTGATCTCCCGTCTTAATGAATCTGTACTATTGAGCCAGTGTAATTCGCTGTGAACTCATTTTCTTTGTTTTTCCACTAATAATTTTGTTTTCCCTAAAAATGCTGTGAAAATGGTATTAAACAGGTAATATTTACGAGGACGTGTTATTTTTTATTATCATTTGATACTATTACTATATTCTGGTGAATACATTGGGCTGTGATTTTTATAAAAATGTTGTTCTTGTAATACACATTTAAAGCGGGAGGGTCGCCACCTACGCTCGCGCGGGAATTGAGTCCCAAGCGACGATAACGACTCACGCTAAAAACGCTAATGGCTAGACGCTTGTTTGTAAACGATGACACGTTATAGCCATCTGACGCATGCGCAGGTGACGACTCTCTCGCTTTAAGTATTCGTTCGATGAAACAACAATATATAAACCGGTCAATGTCCATACGTAATCGTGTTTTTTTTAATCTGTTTTGTGCTCAGTAGATGAAAACATCATAGTCCGATTTAGTCTACAGTATGGAGTATCGAAAAATATTGTTAGATAATTTATGTTTTCTTCCATATTTAAATTGAAACGTAATCGCGAAGCTCCAATAATAATATGCGACATAATGATGAATTGAACATTGAACCACGAGTAAGGCCGAACAAACACGATTCCTCATTTTTGATTACACAAATAACCGAGCTTCATATGTGAACCTTGGTGGCGCTCTATAAACATGGAGTATATAGCATGACGTGGAACGTTTTTCTTTTAATTCATAAATCCGCAATGTGCAGCATGTTACAACTTTTAAGAGACATCCATGCGTAAAATTCAACATCTGTGACAGTAGTACATCCTAGGTTTGTGAAATTTTAACCCGATGCAAATATGTCGCTGTATTAATGCTATGTTTAGTATTACTCTCAGCTCCGATACCACGGATACGGGATCATTCATGCTGACTCGTTAGTTGATGTGGCGTAGGGACGATTTTCGATGTGTGATTATGACGAGTCTGAGGACGGTCCGCTGGTACTGCCGTATATAATGATGCTTTGGCGAAAAATGCGCCCAAAATCCACCAAAAATGCGCTTTTTTATCTTATTGGTGGCACGCTTGCCGTTGTGATCGTTTACACAAAATCCAGAACGCTCGGCACTGCGTCAAACGATCGGGTAATCTTCCGGCAGTTGGGTGATGAGAGAGGTGGTCGTGTGACTGTTAGACAGAACATCTCCACATTGACAGGGGGTCAATACCTATCGCACAAAGAAACCGAGGAGTCGAATCCATCGCCAGATGATCAGATAAATATTTTGGAAGAACGCACGGGCGACGATGTTAACACTGCCTCTGTGACTCGGACATCATTATCGGACGCATCCGTGATGGACATCTCTCGTAACTGGACTAACTCAGGCGATAACGAGCGTCAAACGACCAAACCAACCTCACCAACAAGTAAGTTGAATATATTATGTATATGTATATAAAAAACGATTGACCTTGATTATATTATGTTATTCAGTCGTCGCGTCGTTTTCGATATGTGTTTCATGCTGTTTTCAACCAGGGACACGATTTTCGTATAAATAAAAATTATATTCATCGTATAAACTGTTTCGTCGATATTTCTTCAAACTGTATAAAAATGTCTCCAGATAAATTATCATTCAAGGGATAATTATCATCTGGGATATTATCATTTATTAAAATATAATTGACAGTATATTTGACAAAATTGTGTCTGAATCCTCAAATTAACGACTTTGCCAATGACGTACGATGTGACCCGTTGTGTATTACTCTTACTGCGTGTTTAAAGGGCAGTGGTCGTCGCGCCCGCGTCCTGTTCGAACAAGCGCTGCGCGAAGACCACCGCCATTTAACACACAAGAATGTTGACATCAATGACACTGAAATGCAAAGAATGATGACGTCAAATCGCGCTTGTGTTAACATTTACAAGACGTGCCATGGCGTAGATTTGAATTCTTGCCTTTTTGTTTTGACTACATTGACAGGTTTTATTTACGCGCACATTAAATCGTTAAATACCATTTTAATTATGTTCAGTGGAAAATACAAAGAGTGTAATTATTCAGACTCGTATAATATTGATTCTTGCTGCACACATCAATAACTGAACTATATAAGTCCATCACAGAGAGCGGTGGCCGGGGTATACGATGTAACAACCCAGAGTGCAACACAGATATACACGTATTGTGCACTGGTGATACTTCCCGTAACTCGAAGTTCGGTTTAGCGGATAACAACAAATCGAGTTGCTAAATTTGTACGTTATAACTACGTTGCCCGTAACTCGAGGGTTTGTTATTTGTTAATTTGGACTTCGAATTACAATTTGGGCGTGGTTTTGCAAAAGTGGGCGTGGTCATTTGTGTAACTCGATGTCCGTAACTCAAACAAATCAGCATCTCAGGGGGGGGGGGTGCACCCTGGCATTTTCATCGCCTGGCAATCACCACGGTGAAAACAAAGGCCGAAAACTCCCAGAAAACGGTATTGAGATGGTTGTTGAAACTCTTCTGAACAGTGTAACAATATTACCCTTGCGTGTGCAGCATATATACATTTGGTTGTTCAAGATTACTTCAAAGTTGAGTTTGTGTTGTTTTCTTGAATTTTGCTATTTTGGCACCGGCTCTTCGACCAGCGTTCCACACCAGCTCGCGCAGAGCCCATTGAAGTACATGGTACAGCAGATGCGCGTCTTAGCAACGTAGAACGTCTTGTGACGTAGCCTCCGCCTCCAAGGATATGTTTGCCAGGGGAAACGTTATCAATCAAAGGCGTCATGCATGTATTATTAAACTTGCTCGAGCGATTCATTGTCTAGAACTGATTCCTGCGTCGAAACTGACTCCTGATATATTCACCATTTATTAGCTTAGCGATGCTATACATGATCTATATAAAATAATCTCGTCCCGCGACCAGAATTAGTCATTTGGTTGTTTTGCCATACCAGCTTATTTTCAGACTGCGTGAGATACCAATTTATCAGCTGTTTTGCATAATCTGTCCTCGTGTGCCATCTATCCGCCTAATGACAGCCGACTCGTTTACATTAGAAATATGTAATGCCAGTGGCGGATCCAGCAAAATGTATTGGGGGGATCCAAGCTACGCTTAAGATATACGGACCGTAAATCGCATAGAAGCTATGCGTAATCCAGATGATACGAATCGTCATGCGTTTGGGGGGGCATGCCCCGGCCCCCCTCTGGATCCGCCACTGTGTAATGCATCATTTGTGAATCAAACTGAATTCAATATTTTGGAACCCCGAAACATGTTTAAGATATCAACACCCGGCACATGATGCGGTTCGTTTCCGAAAGATTTGTTCAACATGGCGCCGATTGTCAGACATTTGCCAATTTCACCGGCTTCACGTCACCGGCTGTTGTCTATTCTACATATATCAATGGCAAGCACACATAATCAATAGCGCCAATGTCGAAAGAATACAAATTTGCGCTCAGACGCGGACACCGGTAGTATAGTATCAATTTTTATACTAGTAACTGCAACCTATGCAAAGTACAATAATTTCTGGTATTATCATTATTTATGCAAATTTTAAATTGTATTCGATTCCGTTTGACCCCTTGACCTCGTCAGCAGTTCGACATGAATACAACCTAATCACCTGTAAATTAGGCTAACTTTAATTCCAAAATATATTTTCAGATTTAAAATGAAATATGGATGATTGAAAATTTGCTGAAATGACGGCAGTGGTTATATAAATGCGGCAGTATTTCGGTGCTGACTATTAAAGCGCGGTGGTCATCGCGCAGCGCATGTTTGAATTACATGTAAATAAACAATGTATTTTACACGTGTTGTATACGTCGCTATGAGTCCCATATCGAACAGGACGCGGCACGACGACTGCCGCCCTTTAAAAGTTTATCGTTTCTCCCGCTCGCTACTACATGCAACATTTCTTTTATCTCACAAATGCATGTTCTGTACAGTCTTCCAAACTTCTATGAACGCATGAAAGATCCGTTACCGCCTTTCTCTGGACACAACCAGATGGCATGTGTATCGCTGTATAGGGGAAGATATGCATGGGGTTTTCAATATTCCTTGGTTTTAGTAAAATCGAAAGAAAAAACTCCGATAAAAATATGAAACAAAATCATCAAAACTCGTTTCATATGTGTTTTTCCGATCAGGGACACCGTCGCTAATTTTAATATGGAAAATGAGGTCGTTTTGTATAATAATGGGGTTATTAACAAAATACCAGAATTTATGCTCTCGTACATGGCACGCTTCTGCATTGTCGGGCAAATTCCTTGGCTGACTGATGTACTAGAACAGAAATTACGGTGTGTTGTTAGTATGAATCTTATATCCTATTGTTTCACATTTGGAGCTGCGATATTTTGCAGTATTCGATCCCCAATACTCAATATCTTTTGACCTTGCATTATTTTCTGACCCCGGTGTTATTTATACATCACGTTTTTTGCAAATTGTTCTAGATATGCGTAAATTTAGCGTGTGCAAATTTAACATTACAGATTCAAATTTATTCAGTAATTTACAAGAAACCGAAATTGTTTAACATATTTGCGTACCCCACGACAATAACGAGTACGCGTCCTTCAGTACGCGCTCTGTTCTCTCACTGCTGACACGGTATAAGCTGTGGTTTCGAACACCCACTTCACTTTTCACGCTCCTCCTATTTTCTCTGGGCCAGTTTCGCGATTTTCGTGCGGATAGTGTGGTAATGATCGACGCAATAGTGGTATCTTTTCTCGCAATTTGCGATCTAAAAAAAATATGTTGGGCTTACGTTTGTCAAATGTGCATACGACCAGTAAGACTCGGACTACACTAATACGATTTATGACCATTTTCCCGATCATAATATACCGGCAGTATACCCGGACAAACCAAGCCCACTGAGTCGAGCACACGCACCCATGGACAAATTGCCAACAATTAACAAGCAGTGCACATGGAACCACATGTATACATTATTCAAATAATAGTATTGGCCATTTTTGACAGACAGTATGCGTTTATGACGCGTGCTTATAATAATAAGCATATTTCAATAACATTTTTTTAATCTGTTACAGATAACAATTCTACCTAAACGCAGAGTTCTTTTCTATATATATATATATTGTTTGTAAGGTTGAGTATAGCGTAAATAAATGATTTAGTAATTTATAAAACAAAATTTTTAAAAAATGCGAAAAGTTGGAACTAAAATAATCTCAATTTATGATTGCAAATTTGGATTCTACATAAAAAACCTTTCACGTGATATATTACATGGTAGATCTTGATACAATCAAACGTTTTTAGAAAACAACAACAACAACTTTATTTCAGCTAAAAAATGACGTAATTTGACTATATAACCCCTGTATTTTCCCACACAATGTCCTCTCATGTTGGCACCTATCTCAATCAATTTGAAGCCGATTCACATTACAATAGTGCAACGTTTTTGTTACTAAAGATTTATTTGAACGCCTCAACGTCTCAATTATTTTTATTCTAAAACATCGTTATCACATCTTAAACCAGCAGGAAAGTTGCATAATATCGAAATATCTGCAGTCGTCGTGACGTGTCATTTTCGATATGGGTTCAATGCGACGTTTACAAACGCGTGTAAAGTAGTAACCTAGACACAATAATATCTTTTATAGCGGTACGGTGCATACGGGTCAAAGTTCACACTATATCAGTAATTTATACCTACTTGCATAAATTAAAACTGTATCATCCAATCAAAATGGTGTGTTCTAGGGTTGGATACAATTTGAGAAAATGTTCAGAAAGTGATATCTTCATACAACCCATTTCAGGTTCACTGTACCCCACCACCACTTCCTGTGTACCAGGTCACGTTATCATGTCTCCAGTAAAGTAACATTAGTAAATTATTTTATCGAAACGTTTAAACTGAAATTGTCTGACTCTTTTCTTAGATTTAAACTGCTCTAAGAGACTGGCGCCATGGCACACCCGTCCAGTAGTGGCATTAGCCAGTGCACCTGGGTCTGGCAACACCTGGGTGCGTCACCTATTGGAAGAGGCAACGGGGCTTTTCACGGGTTCCGTCTACCTTGATAAAAACCTTAAACGTGGAGGTAAGTTCACTTCAGCTCGTAACTGTTACCAGCAGTACAACATGTCATGGGTTAGGTCGCTGATGTTTTTATATTACCCTGACTTGTGTGTTTATTCGAATACATCATGATTAAAAATGTTACAATGGTGTTGACAATTCATTAAAAAAATACGAAGATTTCTTTTGTTCAGAATGTGTAAAATTCTATAAAACTGATATCGTCAATGAAACTCTTTATATCAGTTATAAAATACATGTAGTGTGCAGTTATTTTGATTATTTTCGAGTGCTAATGCGTAGAATTCATGTCACGCGAGAGCTTGTATTTGAAACTTTTCTCTGGATATTCTAAATAATGAACAACATACTTTCCAAAGGAAAATATTAAGCCGCTGGTAGAACAAAGTTCTAACGAATACGCTTATTACCAATATTGCAATTTCAGTCTTTCAAATGTTTTTGTAAAACAAGATATCCCATATTTATTAAATTGTCGGTATGTGCGAATAAATAAAACTGAATAAAAGGAAAAAATATGAGACATTTTTGGCGGAACCAATTAAGAATAATTCTAATACTAAACAATAATTGTAATGTAAACTCGTACTAGCTGCTGACGCAGAAAGGAAAGTAATTATATAACACCAAATACACGATATGGTATATATTATGTCAAAGCAAAGTAAACATGTACCGCGTGCATGACTCAAGCCGACGATCATGTATGACACCTAATCGCTTAATAAATTCGTGTTATTAAAGTGGGAGAGTCGTTATCTGCGCATGCGGCAGACGGTCATTGTGTGTCGTTGTTTTACAAACAAGCGTCTAACCATGAGCCTTTGCGTTTTTTAGCGTGCATTGTCATCGTTGTTTGGTACTCAATTCCCGCGTGTGCGCAGGTGACGACACCTCCGCTTTAAAGGCGGTAATCGTCGCGCCGTGCCGTCTTCGACATGGGGCTTGTTTTACATAAAAATCGGACTTGCCCTGCGCGACGACCACATTATTAGTTCACGTAAGCAGTACATGTTACTTTGATTTGACGTAGTCTTTACCCTGCATTCTGTGTAATGCTTGTCATTCTAATACCAGTTTTGTGCAAAAAAAAAACTTATTTCGACCGACGCACAACTTGTTTTCTTTTGTTCGTTTCTTGTAGTGCATATTTTCGACTCTCGATGTAATTAACGTTGTATTATTTCATACGTCTATAGGTTTCATTGGGGAAAAAACCAAATGGGATTCTGGCATGACGATCGCCGTCAAATCTCACGAGACGTGGCCGAGTATTCGGAGATTTTCGGGTGCCATCGTTTTAGTTCGGAATCCATTCCAGTGCATAATCAGCGAATTCAACCGAAAGTCTACGAGAAATCACAACGCTCTTGCAGTGTGGACTGAAGATACAAAAGACGATGAATGTAAGTATCTTGAGAAAAACTCCGAATTCTTGTTAGAATTTGGTTTTGTTCATATTTTAAAATTAATCAACAGAGATGGTTGAATTTTCATTCACGTGACGTGTAAACGTATTGGATTATTGAAATACAAGCTAAGGGGTTACCCAATGGAAACTTGGGGGTAGTAAAATATTTTGAAAACAAATCCTACATGGAAAATTGCAGAAAAATCATGGAAAGTGAAAACAACAGTAAAGCAACATCGTATCATCCCGAAAACAAATCCAATGCAAATCTAAGTAAATGACTAAATAATTATTCCCTCCTAGAGTTCTAGTGGTCAACACCTAATATTGAGAAAAGCGACTCTTAATTAGTAACATGATTCTCCGAGCACACGTGGCAGATATCTTTGTGACATTCCATTCACTGTACGCCACTCCACTAACTTGAAGGGCGGTGATCGTAGTGCCACGCATGCGCGAGATAATCGTACACTACAGAATAATCGTTCTTGTGGGTTTTTCAAGTTACATTCCTAATAAATAACGATTTACTCAACAGTTTGGCATTCGATAGTCTCCAACCGAACGCAGTGGTGGGAAGACTTTGCAAACGCCTGGCTGACAACATTTGACAAGCCAATACTGGTATCACGGTACGACGACCTTCTAAACAACACCATTGCGGAGCTTACCCGTATGTTGGACTTTTTGAAAATACCCGGCGATAATCGGCGCTGGCATTGTGTGCTGAACGACATGGAAGGAAAATTCCACCGTCACTCGGACGTGGATCAAAAGCTCCAGTACGCGTCATTTACACCCGAAATGCGTAAGAGAATCACGGCAGCGTTGGATCGCGTGTCAGCACTTTTAGTGAAAAGGGGTTACACACCACCTGAACGGATATTGGAATTAGAGCTTAGATGACTATTCTAAAGTCTGTGTATCATCGAACTTGTTGATGAAAAATTAGAATGTGCTTGTTTATTTATTGGCAGGCTATGAACCACAGTTGCCAATAACAACAAATCTAATTTGTATACATAATTATCACATGATGCACTGTATCCCAAACAACGATGCGATGTAATGGACACTTGGTAGTTTGCGTGTGCCAATAGTTGGATTACGATATAGAACCATTTATAGAGCTCGTGGTGCAAAACCCATTCTATAGATGGTTCTTGGTCGCAGTAAGAAAATAGTGGTAATATCAGGGCATGGGTCTTATTTAGGAACTTCTGTCAGAACAACTGCACACATCGTAAGGACAAGTTAACAGCTTGAATTTATGGTAATTCTATAATTAACACCAGTTGTTCATGACACGTAAACTTTAATTTTCAAGTCTTATAAAAAGGACCAGTGGAGCGAAAGCTACTCACTGCTGAAGCCACTCATCGTGAAGCTACTAGCGGGTATAGAGATATAATATATATTATTAAGTGGATGTGTTTCCGGGACCCAACGAACAGGGAAACATTGCCATACTCTGCGAAAAAGAAAATAATTAAAAAAAA